GGATACTTGTGTACATTATATATAGTTCTCCGAGACTAGGTATTCTGATCTACCTGGATACTTGTGTACATTATAAATAGTTCTCCGAGACTAGGTATTTTGATCTACCTGGATACTTGTGTACATTATATATAGTTCTCCGAGACTAGGTATTCTGATTTACCTGGATACTTGTGTACATTATATATAGTTCTCTGAGACTAGGTATTCTGATCTACCTGGATACTTGTGTACATTATATATAGTTGTCTGAGACTAGGTATTCTGATCTACCTGGATACTTGTGTACATTATATATAGTTCTCCGAGACTAGGTATTCTGATCTACCTGGATACTTGTGTACATTATATATAGTTCTCCGAGACTAGGTATTCTGATCTACCTGGATACTTGTGTACATTATATATAGTTCTCCGAGACTAGGTATTCTGATCTACCTGGATACTTGTGTACATTATATATAGTTCTCCGAGACTAGGTATTCTGATCTACCTGGATACTTGTGTACATTATATATTGTTCTCCGAGACTAGGTATTCTGATCTACCTGGATACTTGTGTACATTATATATAGTTCTCCGAGACTAGGTATTCTGATCTACCTGGATACTTGTGTACATTATATATTGTTCTCCGAGACTAGGTATTCTGATCTACCTGGATACTTGTGTACATTATATATAGTTCTCCGAGACTAGGTATTCTGATCTACCTGGATACTTGTGTACATTATATATTGTTCTCCGAGACTAGGTATTCTGATCTACCTGGATACTTGTGTACATTATATATTGTTCTCCGAGACTAGGTATTCTGATCTACCTGGATACTTGTGTACATTATATATAGTTCTCCGAGACTAGGTATTCTGATCTACCTGGATACTTGTGTACATTATATATAGTTCTCCGAGACTAGGTATTCTGATTTACCTGGATACTTGTGTACATTATATATTGTTCTCCGAGACTAGGTATTCTGATCTACCTGGATACTTGTGTACATTATATATAGTTCTCCGAGACTAGGTATTCTGATCTACCTGGATACTTGTGTACATTATATATTGTTCTCCGAGACTAGGTATTCTGATTTACCTGGATACTTGTGTACATTATATATAGTTCTCCGAGACTAGGTATTCTGATTTACCTGGATACTTGTGTACATTATATATAGTTCTCTGAGACTAGGTATTCTGATCTACCTGGATACTTGTGTACATTATATATAGTTGTCTGAGACTAGGTATTCTGATCTACCTGGATACTTGTGTCTATTATATATAGTTCTCCGAGACTAGGTATTCTGATTTACCTGGATACTTGTGTACATTATATATTGTTCTCCGAGACTAGGTATTCTGATCTACCTGGATACTTGTGTACATTTTATATACTGCTCCGAGACTAGGTATTCTGATCTAGCTGGATTATCCGTACCAATTTACAGCTGGGTCCACTGGAATTATGAGTGAAGATGACTTACCAAATTCATCGGAATTTCACACGCCGATCGAGATCGGAACCCACAGTGGCTTTTTGTAACCAAGTAAATGATGTCATGTTAAGAACCAATGCTCTAACTGACTGTGCTATAGATAAAATTAGCTGTTCTCATGAGGCTTTTGTCTGTGCCTTTGAGATTCAACCCTCTGTGACTGATTTCACCCCTGAAACAAAACTGAAACAAGGTTTATTAGTAATATCAAATTGTATTATTGTCAGAGCTGAACCCTAAACTTTACTTTCAAATATAACAAGTTATTTGTTTGGTTTGTATTTTTGTGTGGTTTATTGTTGTGTAAACCTTAACTCTGATATCAGATTGTATAATAGAAGCTGTAGCTAACCCAGAGAAAGAGAGATTGAAGGTTGATGACACCAATATATCTTTATGGCTAGCAAGTAGGTGTTACTGTTCCTCTCTTTCATAGGATTGATCACGTATATAGAACTGCATGAATTAAGTTCGGAAATATACGTGCGCATGCGCAACACCCTTATTCCCTACTTCCACCTCGGGATAAACAACGTCGATTCAACATGGCAGTCTATGGAAATAGATCTTATATAAAGGGATTGCTACATTTACAATTGTCGTCTATGCAATACACGCTTTTAACTGAGAAAACCTGTTTTCGACAATGTTCTAAATCATAAATGGATAAGTGTCATTGTAGTTAACCCTTTATATTACATCATTTTTACATTGCCAGCCATAGACTGCCATGTTAGATTGACGTTTATCCCGAAGCAGAAGAAGGGAATTAGCGCATGTGCACATTTAGTTCCGAACTGGCTTATAAGTCCTTTGTCAAACCTCACGTTATTGATATTTACTGAATTATCTGTACCCAACATCTGTTTCATTTTATTGCTCGACGTTACAATAAGATGTAGTAAAAGTGAATTTACAAGGATAATAAATTAGGTTCACGCTAGTCCTAGGTACTGTATTATCTATAGTTTCCATACCTATCTTCAATTCTCTTGATTGTTTCAACGACTGATGTACATATTAGATATTTCCTACTTTTGTCAATTGGAATTACTTATTTCTATCCAGATTAGTTTGTTATTTTAGTTTTGTATTTTTTCAGGTTTAGCTAACTTTGCTGGGATGATTTGTCGTAAATATACAGTAGAGTTATCTGGATTGATGCAGTACGTAGCCAATCAACTCAAAGCTGGAAAGAGGTATAATTATTTGTTGACTATATCATCTCGTCTGATGACCCAGTGTGCTACAGGTTCTATTTTACACATCCGTTGATTTTACTGTCGTAAATTTAAATGATGGATCTCTTCATTCCTGTGCGAGACCCTTTTGTCGCATTGCATACTGCTAGGAGTTGATAAAATGCAGTGCTGAAAATTGGGAAGTTGAGGTGCCAATCATAGCGATTATCAGTTTTGTATGGTTGCAACATTGAAAATGGTCATGAGCACCTAAAGCAACAAACAACTCGGTCTGATGAGAGTTCCATGAGAAACGTATGACTGCTCTTCTTATTTGCAACCATACGCTGGTGATCACTATAGTGTTAGGGTGTATTGAGACGAGTCTAAATGAAAGCACTGGCCTAAGTCACAGAGCAATAGATAAGTCTATTAATTATGTGAAAATTAATTAGTCATTAGTATGATTTTAGTTGAAAAGACACAAACACAAACATACACATACTCTGATATATAATATACTGTATATAGTTCTGAAATAAGTATTCCCTGAAATCTGTGAGGGCCCCTTTAGTTAATCGTTCCCAATAATCAAGATATTGCTCTCAGTAGCCTATGAGGTTCAGATTGTTGGCCTTGTTCTTCAACTGGAGGAAGATTTATTTTTTCTAGTTTAGGGTAATTACAAGTAACAAGTTACTATTCAACAGGCACTGGCACAGGTTTGATTATTCCAATCAGGTATAGATAAGATATAAAACTATAGAGATTATGTTATTTATTACAGTTTTGATCTGTTATTACTGAGAGAAATTGTAACCAAGATGGCTGGTATCGAGGTATCGGAAGAAGTCACCAATGATCAACTAGAAGCCATGTCAGGTGGAGAACTCCTTAGACAAGAGGTAACATTTTTATAATCTTATTCTTCTTTCAGAGAGTCCACATAGATAATGATCTGTAGGGTCTATGTTTTCCAAGATGGTGTTCATTCAAGATAAAACATACTCAATGAAAATCTAAGCACCATCTTTATTCAGGCTCTCCACCTATCTTTCAAGGGAGATAAGTCTTGACAAAATCTTAATATCTTAAGACCACAATATTGCATGTTTATGTGGTATTTAGGCTTATAAATGCAGCATTCATTTCAGAGAATGCAGAGCTTTTGTATTGATATAATATTTTCATTCTATTTGGTATTTGATTTTTCATGTTTATATTCTTTGTGGATTTTAGGGAGGTTATTTTGCCCAAGTTAGAAACACGAAGAAATCGTCGACCAGATTAAAAGAAACATTACTAGAACACGATCTAGCCTTGTCTTTATGTATATTGATGGCCCAACAGCGTGATAGCGTCATTTATAAAGAGGATGTTAACAGACATTTAAAATTAGTTGGTAAACTGTACGATCAGGTATGTTCTGTTGCTAGGAAACATGTTTTATTTAAATGTTATCAAAAGTTATCTTTGTTGATTGATCTTACTTTACCAAATCATACATCTCATAATTGTTTATAAAATTTGCAATATTAAAGAGATTGTAAAGAGGTTTTTTAAATTTTTATGTGAATTGGGGACACTGATAGCATCAATTTTCAATATTCCAATTTTGGAACAGACATCTGTTGTTCCTGCAATTCCACTGACGTCACTTATTCTGAAGGACCTTATGTGATAAATCATATTTTGCAATTATTGAGAATTAGTGAGGTCATCAAACACTTAGTTTTAATTCAATATTGATAACAGCACCTTTTATGATACAGCCAGTGTGTGGATATTAAAGTCTTTCATGGTTATAACAGAAAGTTTTTATGATATCACTAGTATATAGTATTATATTATACTATTTCTTTTCCAGTGTCAAGATACGCTGTGTCAGTTTGGTTCGTTTTTATCTATGTCATTAAGTACAGAAGAGTTTGTAAAACGATTACCAACAATAGACGTCCTAGTAACAGAATATCACGTTCCACCTGATGCAGCATTTTTTCTTACTAGACCTCAATATACACATCTTATTAATGTAAGTTTTTATCTTTAAAAGTCAGGGAAGTCTTAGAATTTTTCTTCTGTCTCCTTAAAAAATTTGATCAATAATCCGATATCATATGTCACAAGCTGTGATCCCTCGACAGTTGGAAATTGAGTAACACTAGAATTCAGTTTCTGGTGTAGCAAAATTTCCTTCATTGCGTTGATGGTCTTTATTATATTGAGTAGAAAATTAGGACATTATGAGAGCAATAATTTTGATGTTTTTATTCTAGGTACGATATGAAGAACTCAGGAAAATAGACAAAGTTAATAAAACATCTAGCTCTAGTCACAATAAGGTAAGAAGGAGGCGGGTGGGGAGAGAAAGAAGGGGGAGGGTGGGGAGAGAAAGAAGGGGGAGGTTGGGGAGAGAAAGAAGGGGGGAGGGTGGGGAGAGAAAGAAGGGGAAGGGAGAGAGAGAAAGAAGGGGGAGGGCGGGGAGAGAAAGAAGGGGGAGGAATGGGGGTGGAGAAGAAGAGAGATTAGATCTAATGGGTCATCTTTATATAACGTGTGATTGGTTTCGTTATTTGGAGATGTTGACTTCATTCCTAACCAATCGGCTGTATTATAAAGTATCAAAGTATTATTTATGGCCATGTTGTATGTTCTAGGAGTGCCCTTGACAATTTATTTATAATAGCATAGTGTCTAACAATATGTTATATCTTTCAGACCAGTAGATATATCGACGCCTCAGAAGAAATTATGAAACCAGCAGCTGATACTGTCAGACAAATTTACGATGATAAAATTTGGGATGATCTCAGGTACATACATAATTTATTTAGTTCTACTGTTTTTATTTTGACCCACATGTATTGTCAGAATTCAAACTGTTCTATCAGTGATGTTCAGACAATACAGTCAAATCTGGTATTGGTGATTACCACTTTGTCCTAAACACTTAAATGTTGGAAATAGGAAAAAGATGACATGGAAAACTTTTTCTCATTGAGCACTTCATGACATTGCCTGTATTAATTATATCAATCTATATTAGAAAAATAGGTCGTTATTTCATTTTTATTTAAAGTTTGCCAATAAAAGGATGTATATCTGAGGATATAATAATAAATATTGATTTATCGTTATATTAATTTTATCGTTATATTAATTTTATTGTGATATTGATTTTATCGTGATATTAATTTTATCATGATTTTTCTGTCATTTTGTTTTTCCAGTCCTCAGTTCTATGCTACATTTTGGTCGTTATCCATGTACGATTTATTCACACCGAAACACGCCTACGAGAAACAGAGCCAGTCATTGACCAATCAGATTCTAGCTATAGAGGACAATAGAGATATGGTATGTACATGTGGAGGGGACTTTTACTGGCCATTGATTGAGGGGTCATGTCTAGTTGACTTCATTGCACACTTCGTAGTGTTGAATATTTTCGTTAGTCATGTCTGAAGCAGAATATTTAGACAACAGATATCATTTCATTAGCCAAGTTTGATACAGAAAAGTAAGATGTTATACGACAGTGAAGTCTATTTCTTTATTTTGATTTGAATTCGATGTTTCTGTTAATGAAATGCAAAGAATTTTAATTATTTTTTTCAGCCTCACAGCAAGAAAAAGAAAGAGAAAGAAAGATGTCAGAAATTACTTGATAATCTAAAAGAAGAAGAAAAGAAACAAAATGATCACGTCAGTCGAGTTTTAGCAAGATTGGAAAAATCACGAGATCAGTGGTTTCTCTCACGTAAGTTATATTTACAAAAAATTAGATTTTTTGCAAGTGTGAGTCTGCAAACCTTAAACATAGGGAATCTATTATATAGATACACAGTTAATATTGAAAATTTTCAAAAATCTTCAAAATATGAAATCTGATATTTAGTGACACAGTTTATTATGAGAAAATTGTTCCCACCTTGATTTTGTGATTTTGATATGATTTCAGTTGCTACGAAGAATGAAGCCATTACTCATTTTCTCCAGCTCTGTGTCTTTCCACGCTGTATTTTTACTGCTAGCGATGCTGTTTATTGTTCTAAATTTATACATATCTTACATCAACTGAAAACACCCAATTTCTCTACTTTACTCTGTTATGATCGGGTAAGTTGGACATTTTATTTCTTTCATCATGTCCCATCTTGCTTTCACGTCTTTGACTGTTTTGGTAAGGTTGGTTAAGACATTTTATTTCTATAGTGACTTCCCGCACAAACCCAGGATCAGCTTGTAGACTGGATCCTCAAGTACTCAAGTTATGACCCTTGTATTAAGAGTGAAGAATGTCCTAAAACTCGTATGTAAAGCATACAAGCAGACAAGCTGGAAGTGGATTGTGAATTTAGATTATAGTTTGTGACTGATGTATTATAATTGTAGATATTTTGTGATATTACGTACTGTGTTACTAGCTGTACGGAGAATGAAGCTCATCGCTATGGAAGATTTTTATGTACAACTCTGGATACAGTAATGAGATGGCATAAAGATAAGGCTGCTTATGAAAAGGTTAGTAAAAAAACAAATACAGGTCGTCCTATCTTATCTTAGCTAGGATATCCTAGGGTCTGAACTTCTTACACTCTTTGAAATGCTTTGTTGTGTCAAGTCATCTGATTGGTCAATTACTAAACTTGATTTTAAAGTTATTTCTGTTATCCAATCAGATTACTGTATTTTGAGAATAAGGCCATAGGAAATGAGAAGGGTGTTAAACTGGTAATAGCTATATCTAAATTAAGTTGTGATTATTGTAGGAATGTGCGACGTACCCTGGTTTTGTAGCCGTATTTAGAAAAGGTACAGATAGCAGTAATAATCAATTTGATCAGTTAGATTTCGAGAATTATAGACATGTCTGTCATAAATGGCATTTTAGAATTACAAAGGTATGTTAAAACTGTCTTCTTGAGGCTGAATATTACTTGACCAGCATTAAATATCTTCCCTGATATAACAGATGAAGGTGACATTGATTGGAGAGTTTTTAGCAGGTTCCGTCTGTCCCAATACTGTCCTCAATCGAACGGTATAGAAGCGTAATATGTCACTTTCAAAATTTTCCCTTTAGTTCCTTCTCCATCAATCTGAATTCTGCCTACTATTTTTCGGCACACTCTTTCAGCTGTATGATATTAATAGGAAAATCGGATTACTCTTAGTATTACAAAATAAAAGTTTTGAGAACTAACAGCAAGAGAATGATAAATGCTGAAGCAAATTTTTGGTAACCCCATCTGACTTTCTAAAATTGGTATAACACAGAATGATATTTGAATTATTTTTCAGTCGATGGTAACGAGCCTGGAATCGGGTAATTATATACAGATACGAAACTCATTGATAGTTTTAACCAGGGTAAGTAGCAGTTACTTCCCTTACAGACTTCTGGTTGACTCAGTCTGTTAGACCCTTGTTTGTTTTTTAATCTTGTAAATAAAACCACAAGGCCACAGAGACCTAGCTTTTTTCTTTTTTTTTCTGTCCGTCTAGTTGTGGACAAACCTCCGAGTCAAGGGACAGCCACAGTAGGCCGCTCTACCATGTAGGACACCCCGACTCGCACAAACCCAAGTTCGACCCTTGTTAGTAACCTAGAAATCTTGGGTTCAAGCCCAGCATTGGTCCAACGAGGCTAGAAAAGAGTGAAGTCTGTCTCAACAATTTGAAATCAAAAAGTGGAGTTATTCTGAAAATAAATTTCCTTGATGTACACAGCAAGGTGTTGTCTTTGAACAAAAGTGTTGCACATAAAATTTATTTCAATTGGCCTTCATCTACGTGGTGTGTTCAGTCAAATTCTGTGTTGTCTGTGAGAATAAAAGATAATATTTGTGTTTTTACTTTAAACTGAATATGTAACTATTTCTTAACTTGACTATTATTTTGTTTATGTTCTAAAGTATTACCAATTTTAAACGTCACAATTCAATCTGTTTTATGTTTTAGGTATTACCACACTATCCTAGAATTCTACAGTTCTGTCAGGCGGTAGAGAGACGAGTTGATAGACTAGGTAAGGAGGAGAAAGACAAACGACCAGATATTTACGCTCTAGCCATGGGGTAAGTTATCATATGTTTATTAAGAATTAAACGTTAGTCTCACTAGTATTATTGGTGTGTAAATGCATTTGATCACGTGACAAACGGAATAAATGACAAAGTCAATAATACTAGTGAGACCAACATTTAATTCTTATATTTATATTTAGATACTTTTATCGTTCTGTTCCTTGAATTTGCCAAAAAATTTTGCTTTGATGACGTCATAGTGTCACGTGACGAACTACAGTTTATAGAAAAATAAATGCCAGTTTTCGTAACTGGTTCATTGAAGGGAGTGATAGTAGAAATGTAAATATTTAAGGTTAAATTGTTCTTTAGGTTAAATTATCCTCAAAACACATACCTGTACAAAGCCTAGTAAATATCTTTGAAATTTTGACGGATTTCCTCATGTGAACTGACCACATACATTGTTTTATCTGGGGGATATAGTTTCCATCTTATTTTACAGAATTTGTATTAACAAAGTGATCAATCTATGTTCTGTATTTGTAGTTACGCTGGTCAGTTGAAGAATACCAAGTCAACCTGGATTCCTGATCATGAGTTTCGTATTAAAGACAAGGAAGCTGTGAGTATTAACATATTATCTGTTATAATTCTATTGAGAGATTATTAAACTTACACTACTCAATTAAACTATAGCTTTAACAATAAATAGAATGACTCGTGGTTCATTTTATCCAAACAGCTTCCTATGCCTATGAGACAGTGAGTTTTAACCAATCAAAATGACCCATTTTTAATATGAGAGGGATTGCCTGTTCTCTTATATTCATATGTTAAAGTAATTGTAAAGAGACTTTTATAAAAAAAAAATTTATCTGTATCAAATGTTTGATAATGTCACTAATAGCCTTATGTGATGCAAACATATTTTGCAATTAGTGACGTCATGAAACACCTAGTATTTGTGGAATTCAATGCTATCAGTGTCTCCAAAAGACATAACAAAGATAAAAAACAATTACAACCTCTTCTAATCTAAACTGTAAACAGATGCTCTAAGATTGTGCTAGTCTTCAGGTGAACCTCAGGTGTAGGAAGATATTGATAATGATATATTGATCTATAGTTCAAACTATATTGTATAAAACTTGATTTCATTTCTATAACTTCCAGCCTAAAAAGATGGCAAGTAATGGCATATCAAAAACAGAAAGTAAAAATGGTGTCAAAAAAGAAAAAACTGAGACAGATGGTATGTGTAATTATATTTTATTTTTTACTGACCATTTCTACTCGAAGTCAGTCAGGCTTTGATTTAAAATATAAAAGTTGTTTAAATGTGACATGAAGTGATGTATGAAACTAAATAAGCTATAGGTTGTAAGTTTTAGACTTGAAATAGAAACAGCGGTCTGTTTGGAAAGGATACTAAACGATTAAACTAAGATGCCACATGTGATTTCCAGAATTTTTGAAAGATAAAAATGTAGAGGTTCGTGCAACTTTCATGGCAATATTTCCCATATTATACATCACATGATCTTACTTATCACAAAATGTTCAAAAATACACGATGTAAAACTTGCTTTTTATGACCCAAAATGAAATAATGATAATTTGTGTGTTATTTTGTAGTTGAGAAAGGAAAAGAAAATAAAGATGTGAAGGACAAGTCTTCTGATAAAAAACGTGAAAAATCTTCAGAGAAACGAGAGAGAAAATCAAAAGAGGAGAAAAATGCTTCAGGAGCCGATTCTAGGTATGGATTTTGGTTTAGCTAAAGGTGTGGGCACACCAGCGGTCTTGGTCGGAGTCTTGTCAAGAGTGGCACGGGCCAAAAATCTCCACTAGGTCGTTTTCCATCATGTTGCTGATCACTTGCGAAGCATGCAAAATGGAAATGAATTTGATTGGATGATGCTGGTCTGTAATGCAGACGATAAAACTATCAGAGACAATTATCAAACTCGTTTGATTTTATAAATCCTGTCGGGGCAGCGATAATCTTGTCGTGGAAGCACGGACACACAAGAGATTTCACTCAAGGCTCCAATCAGAGATAAAAATCTCTGACTGCTCGTGTGCCGCCCCTTACAGCGAAAACTATTTATAAATAATGTAGACATACTATGGCAGACATATTGATTAAACAATCCCTTTCACCTCAGACTACAAATAAATTGTCTATATAGGATTCAGACTACAACTTATTTCAACTTTATAAACTAAACTCACAAAGTGTGTTTCTTAGAAACCAGAAATTAGGAAATGCCGGAACCTGATTGGTTTGTTAGACCTAGATTAAAGATCAATTCAGTGATACTGAAAGAGATCTTGATTAAACTGTAGAAATGAAATGAAATGAATGGAGTTTTACGTCCTACCTTCTGCATCATGTGATTAAACTGTAGAAATGAAATGAATGGAGTTTTACGTCCTACCTTCTGCACCATGTGATTAAACTGTAGAAATGAAATGAATGGAGTTTTACGTCCTACCTTCTGCACCATGTGATTAAACTGTAGAAATGAAATGAATGGAGTTTTACGTCCTACCTTCTGCACCATGTGATTAAACTGTAGAAATGAAATGAATGGAGTTTTACGTCCTACCTTCTGCACCATGTGATTAAACTGTAGAAATGAAATGAATGGAGTTTTACGTCCTACCTTCTGCACCATGTGATTAAACTGTAGAAATGAAATGAATGGAGTTTTACGTCCTACCTTCTGCATCATGTGATTAAACTGTAGAAATGAAATGAATGGAGTTTTACGTCCTACCTTCTGCACCATGTGATTAAACTGTAGAAATGAAATGAATGGAGTTTTACGTCCTACCTTCTGCACCATGTGATTAAACTGTAGAAATGAAATGAAATGAAATGGAGTTTTACGTCCTACTTTTCTGCACCATGTGATTAAACTGTAGAGAAATCAGTGATAAAATTTGGAAATGATGAGACAGATATAAAACTAGTTAAATCTCTAAATTTATAAAAACAGCTGAATGTCATGGCAAAATATTCCTTGTATGTACTTTCTAGTCTTTCTTACCTACAAGCCTTGTTTTGATTTCAAAATAAACATCAGTAATTAAACCATTGACTATTTTCTGAAATTTCACAATTTATTTCAGTTTTAAAACCAGAGATCGGTCACCGAAAGAAAAAGCTGACGGCGCAAAGGAAGTGAAGGTCAAGGATGAAAAGTTGTCGAAAGAAGAAGCGAGGAAGAAGGAAGCTCGGCGTGAAGAGAAAGCCAAGTTGAAAGAAGAGAAGAGAAGAGAAAAGGAAGAGCGAAGAGAAGAACGTAAACGAAGAAGTGCTAGTCGAGAGAAAGATAAGGGAGAAGAAAGATCGTCCAGTGTTCAGTCTAATGGTAGTGGTAGTCATAGACGCAGTGCCTCACCCAGACATTCAGACGAACGAGGTTTGTGATGATTAGCCTTTTTTAGATCAACTTCATATTTTTAGTGTTAATTTGTTTTTTCAAGTCTAAAATGATACAGAACAGTAGAATTTAAACCTTAATCAACAGAATTTCTACTAGAACTAAAAACACATCATTTCATTGATTCAAATTTTGAATTTGAAAGATCCTTACAATATGGAATAGGAAGATTCAAGATTCAAATGATATTCTGCTCTAATGGCTCAAAACCAACAACGCCATTTAATGAGAGAATTTTCAGGATAGCAACATTATAAAACATAGAAATAAATTTGGCAATTACTTGGAAATTAATTTGAAAATGTTGCTGCATTTGCCCACTGTGATGCAAGAAATAAAGCCACACTATATGTCATCCCTCGGCAAGATGTTGTTGCTTCACAAAATAAAATATTTTAATTTTGTTTTTCCAGATATTAAAAGAAGAAAAGTGGATCTTGATAAATCAAGTTCAAAGGTTAGTATTGATGTAGTCCCGGTTATGGTAGAAATACAACAACAGTAACCATGGAAACATCTTAATCAACTCACTACTTGGTGGATATATCCTGGTGCAAGAAAGTAATCCCTAATATTATGACGTAAAATGTCTCAGTTTTCTGTCCTTCTAAACCTAACAAGTTGCTGACTGAGGTGTTGCTTCTTGGTTGAGGGAAGATGTTTTAGATTTGAAATTGTTTTTATTGTCATCTTCATTGTTATATCATCATTGTCATCAACCAAAGAATTGATTTTACTCGTTCAGTTATTAATCAGTAATCTTCAGCATTCAAACAACAAAAATTTGGAAGGATTTTACTCTAGTAGTCGCCATTTTTTATGAAAGTTTTTAACTGATGATGATATTTTTGACGAATATTGACAAAGACATCGCCTTATACAGTAATTATAAAATGGCAGACACATCATCATATTTAAGAAGAGACTGATTTGCATCACCTTGCACCTTTGGTCAAACTTCTCCAGAAGACAAGCTCTCATTGTATACTCGAGACTCCTGTATGCTGATATTGGCATTGCGTTGATCAGAAGAAAACAGTTCTGTCTATGCTAGTTGATCTGTCTAGTAAGTCATCAAATGATTTTACAAGATCCTTGATAACTGTTATAAATCCACCAACAACATCTAGTACCAGGCCTCTGCCTTTACTAATGGACCAAGATTACGAACATTCCAGTTCTCGCTCCAACCCTTGTTAAAATAATCTATAATCAAGAAAGGTTAAAACAAAATCTGTACCATAACGGTGAAACTAACGATCTACATTAAGTTTGTTTTCTACTGCCTTGTTTGTTTGAAACCTAGTATCCACTAGCTGGGCATCTTAAACCAATGATAGTGAAGTCCTCTACCAAAGTTAACTGCCTAGAAATTTACCCTTGGATATTTCTGGATATCTAGACATCAAAAACTGGTTAAAAATGATCAAACATTAAATTACTATCGATGCTATCACTTCAAAGAACAGAAACCCACTGCCATATCATTTATCATCTACTTTCTTCATGCCTGAAATCTTCGACCATCATCTTCTACCTCTGTTAGTAATTGGAATATATACTCTTTATACTGGTGCCAAAAATTAGAACCTGGAGAATTACTACCAGATCTTCTACTACCAGCTTCAGTTATTGGAATTAGTACTCCTACTGGCGCCAAAAATTAGAACCTGGAGACTTGCAAAATTTTACCATCATTGGAAGATCTTCCACTGCCAGCTTCAGTTATTGGAATTAGTATTCCTGCAAGACCTTCTACTACCAACTTCAGTTATTGGAATTAGTACTCCTACTGGCGCAAAAAATTGGAACCTGGAGATTATCATTGGAAGATTTTTCACTGCCAACTCCAGTAATTGGAATTATTACTTCTACTGGCGCGAAAATTAGAACCTGGAGAATTGGAAGACCTTCAACTATCATCAGCACAAGATCTACTACCAACTTCAATAATTCCACTACTTTCATCAGTAATCTTTATCTGTTTACCAGCAAGATTATTACCATCTTCACGGCAGAATTTTAACCATTCAACTCCAGTAATTCAACAGGTTATTTGAATCTCATCTGTTGGCTGGCAGGACCTTTTATCATCTGTTCCAGTCCAGTTCAATATCTTAGTGAGCAATTCTATTATCTACTCCAGTAAAATACAGAAGATTCACTGACACTGAAACAACTGTTAATCCATTCTGATTTAAATATTTCCAAAAATTCA